AGGCGGTCTCTAGCCGTGTTGCCTCTGCCCGTCCCGTGAGCCCACAGACGCCGTCTTCCGGGGAGGCGAGGTCCCTTGCGGCTGTGCCTGGCTCCTTGGGGTGCCCTCTCTGTAAGAAGTGTGCAGGACCCTGGTGCGGGAGCGAGGCCGCTGCACCCAGCACTGGCGCTGCGGGTGTAAGGCACAGGGTGAGTGAGTCAGGGGGCGTCGGCTGACAGGGCCGGGGACAGGCCAGCCAGGGTCACATGGCCTGCTTCACAGGCTGTCCAGGTCACAGCGGGACCCAGTGGTGGCAGGGTGGACACTGGGCTCCAGCTGTCCTTGGTCGCAGCTGCGCCCTGCCGTGGTCCTGACGCTCCCTGCCCCCCACTCACCCCCACGTGAGGACGACCTCCAAACTTTGCTGCCTCGCACACGGGAAGCAGTCGGAGAGGTGCAAATGCACCGTGGCCTTTCGTGAGCAGTGATTCGACCCACTGCCCTGTGGAAAGGAAGGCCAGCTGCTGTCAGCTCTAGGGGCGTCCAGAGTAGCAGCCAATATCAAAAGGCTGTGGCCAAAGCAGGGCTGCGGAGGCGGCGGTGGGTCACAGAAAAGCAGATGGGGACATGGGGACACGGGACGTGCACCTTCTAGCTGATCTGTGCGGTGCTGGGGACAGGAGCGGGGCCTACCGCTCACCACTGCGCCACCTTGGCCCCCGGCAGAGGCACAGCCTCAGCTGGGGCAGCACAGCGCCCTCCTCTGGGGAGCGTGGAGAAGCAGTGGGCGCGGCACAGCCTCCCTGGACACAGACAGGGCAGGGATGATGTCCCAGCGTCCCAGCCCTGTCTCCGCCAGGTGTCCCCAACGGGGTGGCTTCAGCCTCTGCCTCTCTGTGACACGCCATGTCCCGGTACCCACGCCTGTGCACGGCAGGTGTGCAACAAACCCTGGGTGTGTAAAGGTCTGCCGAGGTCACTTCCAGGACACAGGCTGACGGGTGCTCAGAGCAATGGGGGCCAGGCCAAGGTCACTGTCGGGCGCCGAGCAGACCCCAAGCCTGGCCTGCCGGGCACTTCCTGTGTGTGAGGGCACAGAGTAGTGCGACAGACCATGGACAGTCTCAGGGGCCCAGATGACAGACTGGGGTGACAGTGACACCGGCAGGAAGGGGACGCGTCCTATGTGGCAGGCCGAAGAGGCCCTTCTTCCTGCGGGAAAGCAGGGCGAGCCGCTGGCTCCCGGAGGAGGTGCTGTGGGTGGTGCTTGGGGCCTGGGCCCTGCTCTCCACCGCCCACTGTCACCCCACTGGCGCCGGGAAGCAGGGTGGTGTCACCCTGAGGAGACGGGGACACGGGCATGGGGCTGACTGCCGGGAGCCTGGGTCTGGGCCTCGGACCCCCGACAGTGGAACCGGAAGCTGAAGTGGAGAGGAACAGCGTCTGGCAGAGCCCACGGCCCACCTAGACGCCGGTGGGCCACCTCAGTGCCAGGACAAGAGCCAGAGAGAGGGCGGGTGGGGGACCCTCTGCGAGGCTGCGCACCTTCCCGTCACGCATCGACAGACGTGTCTGCAGCACAGAGTCCTCCAGCCCAACGTCTGGAAGGGCAGGAAGCGGGCTAAAGACACACACAGGCCTCACCTGCCACAGCACGCAGGCGGGACAGGCACGGCCAGGGGAGAGAAGCCAACCAGAGCCAGTGGTACTGTCACACCGGCCACACAAAGTCAGGTGCTGGCGAAGATGTGGTGCGGCCGCTCCCACGTGCTGGGGTGTAGCCAGTGCAGCTGTCCTGGGTCCTGGGCTTTAGGCTTTTCAATGCTGGGGACTGAACCCTGGGCCTCGGCACACTAGGCAAGAGCTCTGCTGCCAGAGACCTCCCCAGCCCTGCTAGTTCCTTTGGAAACTGGGACGGCCTTACCACACGACCTAGCAGTTACATCCCACAGACAGCAGAGTGTTCCTGCCGAGACGCCCGAGGCTCGTCGCAGCTGTCCGTGGAGCCCCGGATGGGAGCTGACAAGATGTCCCCCAGCGGGGGTGGCCAGCACCATCCGTCCCTACAGTGGCGTAGTACTCAGCAAGGAAGAGGAACGGCTATGGACACATGCAGCAACTTGGGTGGGTCTCAGGGAATTCTGAGGAGTGAAAACAGTGCCAGAAACTCACGCTGCACGATTCTGAAGTCACTGTAGGCTGGGGAGAGGAGGGGCGTGGTGTGGGTGAAGGGCTTAGTTATGTATCCCGATTGTGTGTGGTTAGCAAAGCTACATGTGTGATAGAACCACACACACACACACACACACACACACACACACACACACCCCAAATAGCTCCCACACACCGACTGCAGCAATGCCAACTTCTGTTTTGCACGATTACACACCAGGAGGCCGCGGACAGTGTACAGGTACGTGGGGCCGCTCTGCAGGTGTCTTTAGAACTTCCTGTGAGCCTAGACGTTTCAAAATAAAGTTAAAAACCATCCAATGGGAGGTAACATAAATGACGGTCCCCGCCCAGTGGAAAATCAGTAACAAAACCCACAGGGGACGTTGTCACTGCCTCTAGTCCCTGTGCCGCAGGACCCGGGCTGCCCAGGTGGACTGCATTTCCCAGCAGCTCTTGCAGCTGGGCTGCCGGGGACAAAGCTTCTACAAAGTGCAGGAGGAGGACGGCTTGCCAGGGCTGGCAGGGACACAGAGCGCGGCAAGGGTCCCTGTGCAAGCCGGGAGATTGTCAGTCAGCTTCTGCCGTCCAAAGAGAGTGGGAACGGGGTCCCAAGAGGGCACAGCAAGCTCGGCCTGGCCCGCCTGCGCGCAGGTGGAGAGTTCATTGTCTTCAGACCACCACCTCTGCGCCCCCGTGCAGCGGCCACTTGGCCTGTGCTGAGTGTGAACAGGGCACGACAGGACTGCGGCTTCTTACCGACAGTGTTCATAACCACAGAAGGCTTGGAGCTGGGGACACCGAGGGCTCCGGCCTGGCTCATTCACGTTACCTCGTTTTCTGCAAGGGGTCACACGACGCCTCAGCCCGCGCAGGGCTGAGACGAGCCAGGCAACAGGCGGAGCCCCTCGCTCTCAGCTCCCAGCCAGCCCCCCGTGCCGCTCTCCTCTCTCTCCCGTCCTATCTTTTCCCTGGTCTGCATCGAGCCCGGGAGAAGCTGGATGCGTCTGAGGCCTGCTGCCCCGGGACCTGCCCATCCCCCGCTCACAAACCAGGGTGCAAGCCGCAGACAGGCTGTGGATGCTCCCTGCCGCACTGGGGTGTGCTGCGCCCGCGAACTGCCGGGGTGGGTGCTCCAAGCGCTAGCAACAGGCAGCAGCGAGCCTGAAACTTGAAACTGCTGGACAGTGAGCCGTGCAGGTCCCTGGGGTGCGGGCGGAGGTCGGCGCTGACTGTCCCCAGTGAAGCCTGGTTATTTGCTCTGCACAGCCGCCCAGCTTGACTTCTCTCGGGCACACACCAGTGCCCAGGGACCGTCTCTGCCGTGCCCGCAGGGATGACGGCCCTGTCCTCTGCTGGACCTGACGGCTGGACGGAGCCTCCTGTCAGGGTCTCAGGGGGCTCACGACCATCCTGACGCCTGACACTCTTTCCTCTCCCAGCCGGGGTGACCTTCAGAGCTGCCTGATTTAGCATCGGGCCCACGCTGCGACACCTAAATGCAACGGTGAGCGGGCGCATGAACACGGAAAGATCACCACTCTCAGCCGGCCGTGGTGTGAACTGTGAAAGCATCACTCGATACCAAAAGGCCAGCTCCCAATTTAGCTCAGAGAAAGAAGCCTGGACAGGCTGTCTCAGGCCTGCTCCTTCCCGTCAGCCCCTCCTAAGGGGGCCAGCAGAAAGCATCTCCGCCCCTTTCCCAGGAGGGAGGGAGCGAGCCCGGCAGCACCGAGTCTGTGTGCCAACCTCGGCCAGACAGAGGCCCAAAGGAACCTGGTCCAGCAGGTGCCCCGGCTTCAGAGTGCGGAAATGCTGTGGCCGCTCCCCACCATCTCTCCTGCGCAGAAGCTGCTGCCCAGGGCGTGCAGGGGAAGCCGCTGCGCTAGGCTGAGTCGGGCCCTGCCGCTGTCTGTGTGGTCTTCCTCCAACCGTCACTCTTCCCCAAGGAAATCGGCTCTACGTGGAAATCCTTCTGAAACAGCCTCACCTGCCATACACAGAGCGCGTCTCCAATGGTGGCGAGGAAAAGCAGAAAGCGCGGCTGCCAGAGTCTAAGTGGGACGCGTGGCCGCCTCGGCTCTGAGCCCGGCCCGCCTGCTCGCCTCGCCCAGGGCCCATGCAGCTGGAGGAACAGCCAGACGCCCAACAGCCTCCCGGTGGCCGCCTTAGCACCTCTGCCCGGCCCCTCACGGCCATCGCGGTCGTGTCGCCCCTCCACATGGCTGTGGGTGGCCCGAGCACCTGGCCTGTCACCGAGATGTCTGAGGAGGCCAACGCCAGCAATCCCGGCGTCCTCCACTCCAGGCTCCGCTGCCCGTCCACATGCAGGGTCTGAGGAGTCCGCAGTGAGGCGGGAGCTGCATCGGGAAGGACGTGATGGTGGCCTGGGTGTGTTTCTGAGCCCCCACGGTGGCCACGTTGCTAGGCCAGCCAGGGCTGCACGTGGAATGGCACTGGCCTTGTCCCTCTTCACCACCTCGCTGCCCTCTGCTCCTCTCAGCCCGGAGGGCAGCCGGGAGCAGCGGTCCTCCTGGAAGCCCCTCCCGGGCAGCGACCTCCACATTCACAGCTCAGCCTGGCTCCGGGGGCTGGGGTCAGGCACAGCATGAACCGGGCAGATGTGGCCAGAGTGGACTCGCAGGAATTAAAGAACGGGGACAGAGGGCCGGACACACAGAGCCTCCCGAAGGCTGCTCTCCCTCTGGGGTGCAGCACACAGGCCCGCGTGCCTTTCCTCCACCAGAACGACCCCATTTCTCAGGCCGCTCGAGCCGCTGTAAACAGACTGCTCACCCTTCCGGAGCGGAATGGAAAGGGGCTGAGAGAAGGGAGCCGAGGCCTTGTTCTGGGTACAAAAGGTTTATGTTTACAAATGAAAGTCACAAAACCAAAACGAAACAGCCCAGCAGCACAGTACACCCGAACACAGACCGCAGGACGGTGACAGCGTGAAGATGACCTCAACAGGGACGCAGAGGACAGGCCCGGTGTCCTGGCTCACAGGAAGAGCCCACGTGCTGCTGACGGGCATCCCCCCACCTGGAGGGGACACAGCGGGGGCGTCACTGGGCGACGGGTCACTGGCGACAAGTGTCGTGGAAGGCTTCGAGGGTGCGGAAGTCCCTCCAGGTCGGGGGAAGGCCATCCTGCAGGAACTTCCCGCAGCGCTGGCAGGGGGCCTGGAACAGCTTTATGTAGCTCCTTAACCAGGTCTACAAAGAGAGGTGAGGACAGAATGGCACTGGGCGCCTCCAACACTCCCACCCATCAGGACCCAAGCGATGCCCAGGGTTCCTGCGGGAGCCCTGGCACTGCCCCTCCGCGCCACGGAGCTCCTCACAGAGGCTGCGGCCCTGCAGGTGAGGGCCCGAGTCTCCTGAGGGTCCATCCACCCCTTTTCTTTGCTCCCCACCCAGCTGCGGCTGACGTCTCGGAGACACGACGATGGTGCCTCTGGCTAATCTGACCTGAGAGGTCGTCAGTCTGGTCACTGTGTGGCCCAGCACACCTGGGGGGCGGCAGAGACAGCCCTGGTGCCCCAGGTGCGTAACGAGCAGTGCACACCTCGAGCAGGTCAGAGAGCAGTTCTTCTGGCACCATCTATAGGATGAGGCCCACGTAACAGAGATGCGCTGTGGGCGGACGCCCCGGAGCCTCCCGGCCCATGAAGGGGTGCAGGTGCACTGGCGTCGGAGGCCTCCTGAGCGTGCTGGCGAGACCCCGTTTGTGCAGACCCTTCGGCACCATCCCATAGCCTTCTGGTGGCAAAGCGCAGGTCTGGACGATGAATGCAGCCTTTAGGCTAAAGCCTTCACTCAGCCACCTGCGCTCTGCGGTCCCCACGTCCTCCCTGCACCACGAGGCCACCACGCCTGGGTCTGTGTCTGCCCGAGGTCCGGCCTCCCCCGGAGGCGCCTGTCCTCACCGAGGGCAGCCAGCTCGGACTCACCATGAAGGATCTGACCACGACGTCCGGCATCTGGGGCAGCTGGTAGTGCAGCAGGGCAGTGGTGGCGTGGTCTGTCACCTGCAGTGGAGGACAGTGACCGTCAGCAGCCACAGAAGGCTGGTGCAGCAGCGCTGCTCTCCACATGCCCAGCAGGAAGGACATCCAAAATACGACCTTAAACAGGAAGCTGGGCCAGCAGAGGGG